AGCTTGCCGGGACTGGAATAAATATTGTTTGTGTGTTGGTGTGGACCACTGGTTGTTGTTGTTGTCTTTACGTTAGAAGCCGTTCCGATCTCTAAGCCCAGTACCTTCGTCTGTCCATACCACCAGCGTTAGATGCGGTCGATTCCCGCGGCTATAGGCTTGGGCAGCTCACATAAAAAAGAAGAGCCCGCATGAGGACACTGGCTATTGTCGGAGACAGATAGATGCCGGTGCCGTGGCAGTATTATCCCACTGCCAGGGGAAGGCTATTTCCTCTCGTGATGTGTAAACGAGGAGAAGAGGGTAGAAAGAGAGAGTGTCCATAGCGGCAGAGGGAGAGGAGAGTCGAAGACTCTCCGCTTCCACTTTCGGCAAGTGGCCAGGGACTTCGGAAGATATCCATCTCCGACGGTGCATTTCCTGTCACTCTCCTTGTGACAAGCAGGTGTCCTCCACACGCAAGCCAATAGAAATCAACGACAGAACATATGTATAGTATATATACTCGGAGTATAGATAGGTAGTCTGCCCCCCCCCCCCCCTCTACATGTGAGATAACGATGAAACCGGATGTCACAGCACCCGCCGGAGAAGCACATCCTACTGTAGTTCAGTCTTGGTATACTGCCGGCGGCGTGGTGTTCGGGCCGGGTCCCCGCGGATCAGGCCGAGTTGGCAATCTACAACAACAACAGCAATCCTCTTGATACCACCTCTACTAGATCGGGAGGTGGAGTTTTCTGTTGAAAAACTTACCTGCAGTAGGCTCGTGCGTTACTACCACTGGCCTGTCTGCTACACAGCAGTATTATATTGGTTGAGGCGTGGGAGGCGCCAATCAGTCAGTGTGTGTGACGACCACTGGTCGAAAAAAATATTTTGTCTTGAAAAAAAAGACACCTCCACACGCACTCGAACCGCGGCGTTCGAGAGTCAGCGTGATATTCACCAACACCAGAGTGATACCGCCTCTACTAGTTGTTCATACTCTACATGCATTAGTTGAGATTTATCATTTCGACGACCTCTTATTGACCAACTGGAGACAACCGGCAGCAACAAGGCTTCGAAGTACACACTTTGTTTCGAGATTTTTTTTTTCATTTTGGGCCGATGCGGGGGGGGGGGGGGGGAATGGGGGTGGGGGGCCCCGGAAAAAAAAATTTCTGGACCCCTGCTCCCCTGGGGGGGGGGGGGTTTTTGTTTGGGTTTTTTTTTGGCCAAAAACCCTTGTTTGGGGAAGAAAAAAAGGCTTTTGGAAAAATATTATTTTTGGTTTTTTTTTTGACCCCCGGGAAAGGGTGTCCCCGGCGGGGAAAAATCCCTACCCAAG